ACACAGGCCACACACTGGTTTTGCAGAAGGCACATCATACTTAAAAATAATATACTGCTATTGTCCTCTTTTGGGGGTTCTTTTCTCATGTTGTTTTTCTAAAAATTCAAAACAATGCAGCTGAACACTTGGAGTTCAGAATTTGCATTTCTAACCCAGGTCTCCCAAAAAACATTATGAGATTCTCAGAACAAAATTTTGCTTTATGTGAATTTAGAAAATTGGAGAGTATTTATTGGGGGATGACGAAGGTGGGCGGGGGTTGAGAGTCAAGCAGAGGAAGATACAGCATCATTGCTGCAAGAAAGTAAGGAACTGGCCAAGTGAGACTGACCTCTGAGCCCAATGCAGATGATGCTGATTCTCAGGGTCTGAGCCCCAGAGGTTGGGGCTGGTTTGTGGAATTACCTTCAAAAAGGCCTACAAGAGTGCTCTGTGGAGCAGGCCTGCTGCTGCTGCTGAGGGTGGTGGGTGAGCCACCCTCCCCTTGCAAACATCCCTTCTCCAGGAGAATCCACCATACTGCCAGCTTGCCTTTAACGAGCACAGCTTTCATTCTCTACAGCACCAGGGCCACACAAATAATGTTTGCTACATTTCTGTTGGCCACAAATGGTGGGACCCCAGCCTCAGAAAAAGTTACAGAGAGAAGAACGGGAAAAATACCTATTGGGTGGAAAATGTGTGGATTCTCCCCAGGAGCTGAAGAAACTATACTCGTAAAAAAGAAAAATAGTCACCATAAGTACATTCCAAACCAACACAATGACATTTCATACTCTTCTCAAAGAGCATCTAAATTACATGTTTTATTCTGCCTTAAACAGCCTCATCCAGTCTCTAATCAAGTAGTTAACCATGTAAAATGTGATGGTGGTTCATAAATGTGTGCACATTATTTTGATTAAGAAAAAGAAAATTCCCGTGCAGTTGACATCATCGAGGAGGATGCTGCCTGAGCCTGGGCTGAATCTGGCCCCTGGGAGGGACAACATGGCCAGGCCACAGCCACGCTGTCTGCAGACCACATGAGCGTCCTCTATGGACCAGCTGTCATCACACACGGTGCCCCAGGTGTTGGCATGGTAGATCTCAACTCGGCCCTCACACCTGCTTGACCCATTCACCAGCCGCAGGCCCCGACCTTGGTGGACATTCCAAAGAACAACCTCCATAAAGGCTCATCCAGGAAGGCCACCAGAAAGCCAGTTTTTGCCTGGGAATTGCGCACTGACAATCCAAGATCATAAATCCACTTCCTCTTGATTTGATTTGATTTCATTCTTTTTGCCTTGGGTACTGCTCAGTGTGTTTTTCGAGTTTACAATTGGTTAAGAAATGGTTGTTGTGGCCAGCTGGACCAGTTACCTGCACCACTGCATGCCTGTCCTTTCACTGTGTGTTGTAAGTCTTGGTGTCTGACACTCATAGGGTTTGTTGGATTTTTTAATGATAAGCTATCGAGCATACACTAATTCCGCGTGTGTGTGTGTAAGAGTTTCTGTGTGCCTTGCACACACTGATTAAGGGACAATGACAATAGCTGCCATCTGTGTTGTTCCCAGGATGAGTGTGACCCATGTGTGAAGCCATTCCAAGGAATGTAAAGGACAGTCATTGCAGGCTGATCCCAGGTTCAAAGGGCAGCGTTTTAAAGGGAGAAGATGGATACAGTCAGAACACAGCCAACGCAAGCTGATGGGTGGCGAGATTTGGGGTCAGCAGGGCAGCCCCAGCCTTCCTAGGTTCAGCTTCCAAGCCAGCCCCCACAAGCCATTCTTGCCTGTCACAGCTTTTTCTTTCCTCTCACTTTCCGGCCAGATTTTCTAGGTGAACCCAGACGTTACCAGCCTTCCTCCAGCAGCAGCTTTGGTAGGGCCAGCCCAAGGCTCTGGAGGAAGGTGAACAGGGACAGTGTATCCAGCAGGGATGCATTACCAAGCATTACTCCCTTGATACTGCTGAGAATTTCTGAGCTAAATCTCTACAGAGGGAAGGCAAGTGAAGAGAGAAGAATGGATTACCTGTTGATGTGGCTGCGTCTGCTGGCTTTGGAAGAGATGCTAAAGACGGATAGAAAGCAAAAGAAGAAAATGATATGTCTTGTTAAGTGTCAAACGTATTTAACTCTCAGTCAGTTGTCAGTGAACTCTTTGCCTTGTGGATTATCTGCAGGCAGTTTCTGATTCTAAACTGGATTCCCTTCTTATGCCCTTTCTCTGGGGTGGGGGACGGGTTCCTTCCGTCCCCCAACTGGTGTGTGCACAGGAAATACAAACCAACTCATACAAGCTTAAGAAAACAAAACTATGGTGATTGACAGTTGAAAAAAAAGACAGGTGTATATATATATATATATATATATATATATATATTTTTTTTTTTTTTTTTTTTTTTTTTTTTTTTTTGTGCCCGGTAACGGGATCGCAACCTTCGGTGTGGCGCCCGCACCGCGCTCAGCCAGTGAGCGGACCGGTCTCTGTATGGGATCTGAACCCTCGGCAGGAGCGCTGCCGCACTCCCAAGCGGGGCACTCTACCAAGCGCGCCACCAGGCCGGCCCAAAACAGGTATATTTTAAAGTCAAGAAAGAAAGGTTTGGGGTCCTTTATCTTTTCTCAATTCTTCTCTTCTCTACATACG